GGGCATTGTGGCGGGCGCCTGTAGTCCCAGTTACATGGGAGGCTGAGGCAAGAGAATCACCTACGCCCAAGAGCTAGAGGTTGCTGTGAGCTGCGGCGCCATGGTACTCTGCTGAGGGCAACATAGTGAGACTCTGTCTCAAAAAAAACTCCACAAAAAACCAAAACAAAAAAAGGCTAGAATTTGCATAAACAGTAAACTGCACTTCTAGGTCAGGGAATGACTAGGTGAGCAGCTACAGCAGAAGACTACCACTGCTAGAAGATGTCCAGCATTTCAGAATAGGTGGAATTCTCCTGGCTTGTTTCCTAGAGTTCATCATATAAATCTGAGAACATCTGAACAGCCAACAGCCTTATGATTCCTTTCTGGTTCCCATTAGTTCTGCTGGAGAAAGGCCTTCAAGCCAGCACCTGCAGTGTAGTAAATGTCTAATCCCAAATCCTCCCACAGGTAAAGTGTATTACCTCAGCATATGCCACTACATACCTTACCTTCATTCTTTTTAAGAAAACATCAAAAAATCAGGAATGAGAGCAACAATTCCCAAACGCCAGTGAATGGACAGGTGTTCTCAGGACCCTGTCAAAGCTGGCAGCTGACCAGCTCCCAAGAGATGTTCACCCCAACACTCACCTGCTGGGCTATGAGGTCCAGCCGACTTTCTAGGGTATTGGAAACCTTTATTTTACGATCCCCATTATAGATTTCAACACCACCAGCTCTATAAAGAACACAGGAACAATCGTTTTTATAGATTTCAGAAAGGGAAATGCACATAGTACTTTTACCCTATGTCCTTATAGGAAAGCTATTTGGTGTTTGGAGTGCATGACATGAGCAATAGACTTGAGAAAAAAAATTTTAAAAGTTTATGAGGATTTAAGGTATAGTTGGTTCCAGGACCCCCTCCACCAATCCCGAAATCCACAGTACTTATGTCCTTTACATAAAATTGTGCAGTATTTGTATACAGCCTACACATACTCTCCCATTTACTTTATATCACCTCTAAATTTATTAAAATAGCTAATACAATGTAAATGCTGTGTAAATATTTGTTATACTGTACTGTTTAAGAAATGATGAAAAGGAAAAAAATCATCTTCACATGTTCAGTAAAGATGCAACATATTGGCTTGGCGCCTGTGACTCAAGTGGCTAAGGCGCCAGCCACATACACCTAAGGTGGCGGGTTCGAATCCAGCCCAGGCCCACCAAACAACAATGA